CATTGGAATGTGCTGCCCAGGGAGGTGGTAGATTCACCATCCCTGGAGGTTTTCAAGCTGAGACTGGATGTGGCACTTAGTGCTATGGTCTACTGACCACGGTAGGGTTGGACTTGATGATCTTGGAGGTCTTTTCCAACCTGGTGGATTCTATGATTATTATCAACCATATGTTTTACCATGCTCTGCCTTTGTAGTATGAATGCATAAACTCAGTCTTTTTAAGTCAGTCACAAAAGAATTGATATTTAACTTTAAAGACATCTTCTTTTTAAGCAAAACTTCTTGCCTGAGTAATTATTTTGATTAATTTTTTAGCTGGTAGTTGTGAACTGAACTTGACAATTTTCTCATTACCATTGCAATTCTGTGGGCAGTGGAGTAAAGATTCATAAATCAAACTTTAGAAGCTACAAGATACTCTTACAAAAGACCTGATTCACTCATGCATGTTTCTACATTTACATTTCATAGAATCATAAAATTTAGGGGCTGGAATGGAGCTTAGAGATCATTCAGTCCCAACCGCCTGGCCTGGGCAGGGACAGCTCCCCACACCAGGTTGCTCAAGGCTTCATCCAACCTGGCTGTGAACACTGCCAGGGTTGGGGCAGCCACAGCCTCCCTGGGCAGAGAAATGTTTTCCCTGTGAGGGTGTTGAGGCACTGGGATATTGCCCAGGGAGGTGGTGGAGTCACCATCCCTGGAGGTGTTGAAGAGGTGTCTGGATCTGACACTGGAGGATCTGGTTTAGGGTTTAGGGGTTCCAGCAGTGATGGGTTAATGGTTGGACTCCATGATTTTAGAGGTCTCCCCCAACCTTGATGGTTCTATGAATACGGCACATACTTACCAACAAAAATTTATTCCAAAGATCTAGGAATTTAAACCTTCCTGACAAGACTAAATTCCAATATGCAATCGCCATTTCTAGATCTGCAAGAGACAAAGGAACATGTAAATATCACAGCATATGATAGGCAACAAAACCCTCATGGTTAAACAATTAATGCCATATCCAGTATATAATGATATAAATGAGTAACAAATTCTTTTAAAAAGAACTCCTTGCAGCAAGAGCCCTGTTCTTCTGGAATCATTCAGTGGACAAACACCTACACCCAAGAAGTGTGAGGGTGATGAGACCATGGCCCAGGTTGCCCAGGGAGGCTGTGGCTGCCCCAACCCTGGCAGTGTTCACAGCCAGGTTGGATGAAGCCCTGAGCAGTCTTAAATGCAGCTTCAGGGTAGAAAGGATGTTTCTTTGAAGGCCTATTAGCATCCTCAGCAACTCACAACATCTAATGGCTTCTGTGCTCACTCCTGCAGGTAGCAGCACTAAGTGTATGCTTCATGCTGTGTCACCCCCAAAAAGAGCACAGCCTTTCTGAAACCTCAGTGTTGGTGCTTGCAGTGTAAAGGATGTGAAAATAGACTATGATGCCTGATAGAAAGTGCTGTCCTAGCAGGTAAGATGTCAGTTTGACAAGAAAGCACCGTGGGTCGTGAAATATTCCATTACAAACCAAAGGACATTGTCACCTGAAATCAAGTTTCAGGTCTGAACGAGATGTGCCAGATTTTAACACAGCCATGTCCCCAGAGCCCCTGTATCATGCAGGGCTGGGGCCCAGATAAAGTGCAATAGTTAAGATGCAGAGAAATGCAAGACACCTAAACCTAGTTATCTGTCACTAACCTGTCACTGCTGGAACCCCAAACCCATATCCTCCAGCACCAGATCCAGACACCTCTTCAACACCTCCAGGGATGGTGACTCCACCACCTCCCTGGGCAATATCCCAGTGCCTCAACACCCTCACAGGGAAAACATTTCTCCTCACATCCAATCTGACTTTGATCTGGCTCAGCTCAAGGCCATTCCCTCTACTCCTCTCCCTGCAGCCATAGCAGGACAGACCATTCTCCTGATATCCCACTGAGGATGTAGCTCTGTAGTGGCTGAAACTGGTCCACATTGGAGTTGCTCCCCCCATTAAGCACAAGGAGGAAAGTTCTGATCTTGGTAAAATTTGCACCAAAATTTGCCCTTCCTCATCTGATTCACTGTGATCCCACATACCCATGAACTAACACAAGAGAAAGGACTAGATGGGACTAGTTTATGCCACCCATGAACTAACACAAGAGGTATTTGCATGAAAGGACTAGATGGGACTAGTTTATGCAATCTTCAACAGAAACCTAAGCCTTCAGGTGTGCCACGTTCTCTGGGGATATGGCTACACTCATGTTTGAATACTATTCCCTACCTAGGTTGAAGAATTTAGCACTGGAGGACAGAAAAGAGCATTTTTTTCTGCTCTAAAGGGAACACCTAGTCTCAGCATTCCTGTTCTACATTAGGATGCTGACAGCAGTATCAATGAACAGTGGAGACTGTGTGTGCTTTTTGGCATCTTCCTGTAGGGACAAGAATTTCCTGGCACTCTTAGGAACACCTCCTTCAATGCTGCATAGATATGAAGGCATCATTACACATAAAAATGAAACTACAACGGTGAAATCTGCTGGGTTTGTACCAAAAATTATGCTTCCCACATAGACTAATAATCCAAGACCAGGGTTCCACTGGCTTTCTGGGCTGAGCTCACACTGCAGCTCATGGGGAGTTTCTCATCCACTGTCACTCCCAAGTCTCTCTCCTCACTGCTGGTTTCAACCCCCTCCCCACCCAACCTGTAGCTGTGCCTGGGATTGCCATGGCCCACATGTAGGACCTTGCACTTCATTTTGTTAAAGTTCATGAGGTTTGCATTGTTCCACCTCTCAAGCCTATCAAGGTCCCTCTGGAAATATCTACACTTATATGTCATGGAGCCCCTTAAACAATCAACTTTTCACCGTCATAAATACAGTATTTTGCCTGAAGCATGATCTATTCTGAAACGTTCAAACCTCATTCTAAAATTGAAACCCTCAGTCTCTTCTACCCTGACTGAACAGAAAGCTTGAGGTGATAGCAAACAGCTCAATTAATGCAGAAGAAATACATTATCAGTTACCTCTGATTGCTTTAACATTTGATCAAATGCTTATCTTATTAACAAAGGGGGAAAAAAGCATTATTAGACTGCTGCATGAATAAAATAAAAGCCAAATTAAGTTCCTCATGCCTTTACTATAATTTTGGACAAGGGCAATGAAGTCAGTGCACACAAGAAATGAAGGAAGTGAGAAAACAGACAGAGAATCCACAGATGGCAAAGAATTGGCTGTAGAGTAGGATTTATGTGGAACATGAAATGCAGTTCCTTTAGACCTGCTGTGCCAAAACAGCACTCTGGGACTGCAGCACTCACTCCTCTGCCAAACAGACCCCTCCAGCTCTCAATCTGCCCTACCAACAAGAGCTGTTCATGCAGTCAGGTTTGACACTGCTAGAATATTATCCCCAACTCACCTAAGTTACTGAGAAAGCTTTTTAGTATTGAATCTGACGCAGACGGATGTGGGAACAGTGGAAACTGGTGCCAATCTATCAACAACTGGATTATCACACTGCCTGACCAGCAAACAGCCAGTGAATACCTGCAAGACTCAGTGAAATACTTGATCCCTTGTTTCCTCATCTCTGAATGATTTCAAGAGTCTTCTTTAGCCTCCAAATTACTAAGAACATGGACACAAGAATTAGTTCCTTCTCTCCTGTTCAGAATGTTTTGCTCTTCTACGAACAAACAGAATCCACTTGGAAAATAACAAGAATAGACCATCAAGATTCAACCTCAAAATGCTCCACCAAACTGTCAAAAGCACAACAGCCTTTACCTGCAACTGGGGGCTCCCCACAGAAGGAAGAGAGAAGGGAAAGGAAAGGTATGGAGTATGATACAAGTGTGGAAAGTGGCTAAACTTTGCCACTGGATGCATTAGATCCACTCATCCCTGCAAAGACACAAGCAAAGAGCTTCCTAGTCCTCTTTGTCAGGGGATGTCTAACGCCCAGTGTGGGAGTTAAGTCCCTGTGCTGCACAGGGAAGACTGATCAAGCACAGCATGTGGATTTCAGGAGCACTGCAGGAATCAGGCAGGGTCTGACTGTGCTTATCAGCTCCATCTCAGCATCTGCCATGCTGCAGCACACAGAACCTTCCATAGTGATTATCTTAAACCTGAACTGCTTCTCAATGCAAGCTAGGCTTAGGAGAAGAGAGATATCTAAACATCAATTCTAAACACCAAGAACTTCTTCTCTTTGCAGTCCTTGAGCACTGAACAGATTGCCCAGAGAGGTCATGGATTCTCCCTCACTGGAGATATTCCAGAACCATCTGAACACAACCCTGAGCCATGTGCTCTAGGGTGGCCCTGCTGGAGTAGGGAGGTTGGACCAGATGACCCACTGTGGTCCCTTCCAACCTCACTGATTCTGGGATCCTGTGATTTGAGTGCAGCCTAATGATTGCAGCCAGTTTCAAAATCCTTTTTCCTTCACAAATCTCTCCATGTACAGTTCAGACAAACTAGAACAGGTGACTTGAAGTTCACTGGATATAAATTTCCCAAATACAAGGAGCCAAGCACGGGTAAAAGAATCCACAAGGCATTACTAGAACTGCCAGTTATGCCTCACTTCTGCTGTTACTATTGGCCTTTTCTGCTCAGAGCATCTCTTCTATACTTAATTTCTCTTACACATTTTCAGAAAGAAAAAGTGAACAAAAATAAAGCAAGGACCACATACACAGACCAAAGCCATTGAAACACCTAAAGTATTCACAGAACTCTTCAAAAATAAACATGAAATTCACCTTTTCAACTCCCTCAACTTCTTCCATCCACTCACTCCTACAAACAGATCTATCTAATTCTTCACTGAAAGTGGAGGAAATCTTCATAACTGGGGAGGGGAAAGGAAAAAAATACCCTTCCCTAATGTCTAAGTGTCTCTTCAAAGAATCTTGAGATACTGCTAAGATAAAACCCAAAGCTGATGCTGCTTCAATTAAAAAGAGCACATTATACTCATCTGCTCACAGAAGATGAAACCTCCTTGAAGTCCACAGAGCGGATGCAAAGATTGTCATTCTTCTGGTCTTGAGGTAATATTTGACTCAAGTCTGAATGCCCTCCTCCTGCATCAGCTCTTGCTTGATCCCAGGAAACTGGCAGAGAGAAGGAAGCACAACCTTTTGAGCCAGCAAGCAGGCAAAGGGATCACAAAGAAGTGATGAAGGACCAAATCCGCTTTTTGTTTCCACGTAGAAGGACGAAGACCATAAAAGAACTCATTAAACTCCTCCCTGGTGCTGAAACAGACTGTAATAAACTCCTGAGCATGTCTTGATGGGTCTCCCTTCGAGCCCCATTAAGAGAATCACAGCGAGCATCAGGTTCAGACAAAATAAAGATGGAGCTAAGGCCTCGTTTTGAGCTTGAACAGTGACCTTAGACATCTGATCTGTAAGCAACATGACAAAAGACTTATAATCCTTTAGCACACTTATGACCAAGGGCTAGGATACAAAATTTCCCTCAGGCTGCAGTAGAAAAAGCTAAAACTTGGGAGTATGAGGTGAGATAAACCTCTCTATATCTGCACCATGCAAAACCTAAAGATTTAATGTACTAAACACAGAACATGAGAGAGCAGATTAAACAGACGAAAACAGTTATCCATAATAACTCTTTGTAAAAGTCTCCTGGTAAACCAGACCTTAACAAAGTGCACTTATTACAACTCAAAATAGATCCTCTTAAAAAATGATCAAATCTCTTCAGAAGCATTTGAAAGACACTTGACAGCTGGGTGCTGAGTAACCTTTAAAACAAGAAGAACATAATTTTCTGCTTAAAAGAAAAACATGGCAAGTCTTATTCACTGTGCTTTGGCCTCCTGCATCTCACTACTTACACAAGATCTCACCTTTGGGGACTGCTACTACATTCATTTCTTTAAACAGCACATGCCCACACTGAAGTATGTAAGTTGACAATATTAAGCTAATAAAAGTAAATGGAAACATTCCAGTTGGATGAGACTAGAGAGAAAGGAGTCCTGCAGTTCTGGTGTCCACAGCATAAGAAGGACATGGAACTGTTGCAGCAAGTCCAGAGGAGGCCACCAAGGTGCTAAGAGGATAGGAGCATCTCTCCTATGAGGACAGGCTGAGGGAGTTGGGGCTGTTCAGCCTGGAGAAGAGAAGGTTGTGTGGAGACCTCAGAGCACCTTCCAGGAGCTGAAGGGGCTCCAGGGAAGCTGCAGAGGGACTCTGTGTTAGGAGCTGCAGGGACAGGACAAGGGGCAGTGGGGACAAATTGCAGAGGGGAAATTTAGGTTAGATCTTAGGCAGAAGTTTTTGCTGTGAGGGTGGTGAGACACTGGCCCAGGTTGCCCAGAGAGGCTGTGGCTGCCCCAACCCTGGCAGTGTTCACAGCCAGGTTGGATAAAGCCTTGAGCAACCTGGTGTGGTGGGAGGTGTCCCTGCCCAGGGCAGGGGGTTGGGACTGGATGATCTCTACAGAGGGGAAATTTAGGTTAGATCTTAGGCAGAAGTTTTTGCTGTGAGGGTGGTGAGACACTGGCCCAGGTTGCCCAGAGAGGCTGTGGCTGCCCCAACCCTGGCAGTGTTCACAGCCAGGTTGGATAAAGCCTTGAGCAACCTGGTGTGGTGGGAGGTGTCCCTGCCCAGGGCAGGGGGTTGGGACTGGATGATCTCTAAGGTCCATTCCAATCCCTAGAATTCTATGATTCTATGATAAACAGAAACAAAAACGTCCTACTACGACCACAGGAAGTGTGGGAAAGAGACTCCTATAAAAGGCACTCCTATTTCTAGTACTGAGCATTAGTGCACTGAACTCAGAGCCTATTTTGGGGAGTAACGGATGTAACTTGATTTATTGGAGAGGATTCTTCCCATCTAATGACATAAAGGCAGAATTTCTTGCATGGGTTTTGAGGGGAACAGCAGAACAAGAAGAAATTATACAGGAATGTAAGACAGGCTGTTCAAAAGATCAATAAACCACAAAACTACACACACTTCCCTCCTCCCCAAAACAGCTTTCCTGGAGCAAAATCCCACTGCATTCTAAAGAAGACCATGTCAAGTATCACCAAAATACTTCTATTAACAAAGAAATGTTCTAGAGAAGAACTTCTGTACATTCCTACTCCAGTCCATTACATATGTTAGGAGAAATGTTTTCCCTGTGAAGGTGTTGAGGCACTGGAATATTGCTCAGGGAGGTGGTGGAGTCACCATCCCTGGAAGTGTTGAAGAGGTGTCTGGATCTGACACTGGAGGATCTGGTTTAGGGTTTAGGGGTTCCAGCAGTGACAGGTTAATGGTTGGACTGGATGATCTTAGAGGTCTCCTTCAACCTTGACGATTCAATACTCTTCCAGCAGTTCTTGAGAAACAATACTTCTACACTTGCCCAATAGCACAGACACAGATTTAAAGTGGCTATGTGACAAAACCTCAAAGAACAACCCCAAAAGACCAAACCACTTCCTCTCATCCACAGCATAAAGAGAACAGTGATGATGGCACAGTGCTATTCTACACGCAGAGCAGGTTAATTCCTTCCTACATACTGACTTTTGGAAGGGGAGGTAGATTTGAAGACATAGCAGATTTCATCTTACAATTCTTTTCATCTATTCACAAACTTAGAGATATTTCTGATTTGAAGAGATGAAAACATTGCAATTTAAATAAAGCATCCATGGATTGGGACAAATCTCAACATAAAGAGCAATAACTTCATGCTTTATAAACTCTATGCCTGTTTTTATTCACTATTTCTGAACCAAGCCCATAATATTCTTTTTCTAAACTTTATATAAAACTGTGGGCTGAAAGTAAAAATTCTCTGAAGAAATGTAACTTCTGCCTGGAGTTTTCTCCCTTCTCCTGAGCTGATATGGAGATCTTGTTTCAGTAGTTCTGAACAAAAGGGAAAACACAAGGAGTTCACTATCTCAGAACATAAACTTTGACAGGTCTCTAAGAACTGCAGGAACTTCTTTTGACAAGAGGTGAGAGAATGTCAATGCTAGCAGAAAATCCCATTAAATGATCTGTACCAATGGGACATAAAAAAAAAATTAATTCAAAGAAGACAGGAAAGAGGAGAAATCAGTGAAAGAAATCAATAATGAATTTACTATACAATCATCACATTGTATTATTGGAAGTATTTGTAACTGACTTCACTGACTGTAGATATTTTCTCTACTTACCTAGACCTTTTTGTCCAGGGTTTTTAGCAAAGTTAAAAGTAAACTGATAAAAATCTTTGAACTTTGTGGGATCCTTTAGCTCTTGTTCCAGTCGTGGCAATAGAGCTTTTAGTTTTTCTGTGGTGTCACACCTGTACAAAAGAGGTTATATTATTTGCAAATATTGAAGATTTCTTTTTACTTCCCCCCTTTTTATAAGTCAGTTTTAGAGCAAAACAAAACAGGAGTTAAGATAAAAACAGAGCAACTTTGTGGGCAGCATCCTTGAAAATATAAACACTCATATGCCTTCAGTAAAGAAGTACACAAACCAAACAGATTTCAGGGGTTGAACTTCTTTCCTGTCTCTCCATGAATTTATGAACAGAAGCTACTCTGTTCTTAAAGAATACAAAAGCTTCATTGAAACTTCCCATCCTTTCCCCATATACAGCTGTTGTAACACAAGCAGGTGGCATTTACTTTACTCTAAATACACAATGCTTATTCCCTGCTCTCCTAAACCAAGAGCTGAACACTATGTTGACAACCTTAGCAACAAAATCATAGACTCACAGAACCATTAAAGTTGGAGGAGACCTCTAAGATCATCGAGGCCAACCATTAACCTGCCACTGCTGGAACCCCTGAACTCTAAACCAGATCCTCCAGTGTCAGATCCAGACACCTCTTAAACACCTCAACCAAGGTGGGTGGGACTGCAGATCTGCCTGAGGGGAAGAAAGCTCCACAGAGAGACCCAGACCCACTTGATCAGTGGCTGAGGACA